AGAATTCCTCAATCTCGAAATGCATGACGTCACGTAGGAAAAAGTTAAAGAGCCAAAACATGTGCAAAATAAATGTAATGATGACAAATTTGTCTACGAACTTGTACCATCTAATGCACTTGCACTGTATACATGTACATGTTGTTTTTCTCATTATTTACAGACAATATTAATTTCTTGAATTCTTGACACAACAGTCGAAACCCTCTCTTTCTCTCTCTCTCTCTCTCTCTCTCTCTCTCTCTCTCTCTCTCTCTCTCTCTCTCTCTCTCTCTCTCTCTCTCTCTCTGAATAATAAAAAAACTGTTATAATGTACCAGAAGCTTCTTTTTCTTGTACATTAAATTCCGTAGGCTTTTTCTCCTTCATAGAGCCATCCTCTGTTGTACATCCTTTTTCGTCTGTTATAAGCGTTGTTACGGTAGTTACTAACGATGTATCTGATAATGTTATCCCTATTTCTGTTGTAGTTGATGTAATGTTGGGTGTCGATGTTGTGAACAGTGTTGTTCTAGGTTCCTTAGTTATTTCTGGATCCTGCTAAAATACACCAATGTAAAATGATGTTTTAAAAAAAATTCTCTAAAATAAGCTGCAGTTAGACCACAAGAGATTCAATTTACTGTATGCCTAAATTTTACTAACAATTCCTGCTTAAAATGCCATTTTTAGCGTTACATACAAATAATGGTATGCACAAGATATGATGATCAGAAAATACTTACTCTCCTTTGGTTTGTCACAAATAATATATCCTTAACGTGAACATTTTCTGTTCATCGAATAAAATTTAAAAAAAAAAACTCTAAAGTAATTTTAACTTGAAGGGGGTGGCTTAGTTTGATGATCAGAGCTTTTATAAGATGAGATAAACATGTCTTAAAAAGATAAGATCAGATGTTATCATCGGCAAATATGAAAAAAGCATGCTTTTACACAAGAGAATAAGAGAACCGTTTCTTGAGTGAAGCATCGCATTGTAAAAGGCACTGCTGATGTACATGGCAATCAGCAATTTGAACATACAAATAAAGCCTTAGAGAGAAGGGATCTATAGAAACCTCTATTTGTCTTAAATCATATGAAAGTAAATTCTCCTTGTTACTTTTTCAGAAGTTATTTGCGTTATAAAGCAATAAGCTAAGTCTAAATCATACATGTATATACATGTAATTTCCTTGTAAAGTATAGATGCTTACAGTTACCCCCTGCTTTCACTGAAAGTTAGGGAGTTTAATTTGAGTCCGTCTGAACGTCTGTCAGTCCGTCCATCTTTCAGTCTGTCTGTAAAACTTTTTTACGCATATCGCTAGAAGACTTGCAGGTTTCGCAAAGGCATTTCTCATAACAACTCCCAACTGCGGCCTATGAAAGACTTCAATCGATCTGAAGGTCAAAAGGTCGAAGTCAAGGTTAAAAAAGGTCTAGAATTTTGTCTATTTTAACACTTTTGTTTCCCTGCGATATCTCGAAAGGCCTTCACGCTTCTGCAGAAAAAAATAACACAAATACCCATGGCCTAAGAAAGATCCTTTTGATTTTAGGTCAAAAAAGCAAAATTCAAGGTAAGGAATCAATACATTCTCTCAGTCAATAACACTTTTAACTCCCTATGCTGCAGACCATTCTTCTTTAAATCCCCCCCCCCCCGTTTTTTAACGCCTTTAGATTTGCACATGCATTTCTTTTTTTCCTTAAGCAAGAGACACAGATAAGCTAAATTACATGTAATTTCTTGAAACATCAACTATGTTTTACACATCATTATCTGATAATTGTGGAAAGGATGTGAGGAGTTATATTGTACAAAGTAAACAAATAGACTGAAAAATACTTAATTTTATCATAATTAATACAATGCATGCTTTTTACTGAAACATTTACATTTTTTTTTAGAAAATGATTGGAATTAATTATAAATTTACACTCTTTTATATTTACTTACTTCTACACAATTAGTTCTTGAGACTTGAATCTTTGAGTCACAGGTGGTGAAAGTACAATATTGGTTGAAACAAATTTCGCACTCTTTATAAAATCCATAGTCTTCATTCCTTATTTCTTCACCTAAATTATAGAGGACAGATAAGATAACAGAGAGAATAATGTCTATAGATATGTTTTAAGTATAACATGTAAACCTGTTGGGTTTTGAAAAGGCACAGGATTCATTAATGTATTTTTATCTCCTTACCCTATCTGAGTTATGATTGATTTGAACGATACGCAGTATTCAATATGGTAGGCCGTGGTTCCTGAGCAAGGTAACCCGCACATTGGGACAGCTTGATTTCCTACTGTTTTGTATGAAATCCAGATAGGGCTACGCAGTTCACTATTGTATCATCGCATCATCGAAATTTGGTTGATAATGCAATGGCACGATGATGCGAGACGATGAAGCAATATTCACTTTTACTCTATCGTTCTATCGCACCATCGTCGTCGCGCTATCGCACCATAGCTCCATCGTCATCGCATCATCGCTTCATCGTTATCGCATTATCGCGCCATCGACCTATTAGTCGATACTCGATGGTGCGAGAGTGAACTGCATAGCCCTATCCGGATTCCATAGTTTTGTGACATAACAGGTTCTTTCACCCTTATTCAGGATAAATATATCCCCAGTATCTTGTATTCTTCCAGACGGAAAAAAATCTGGAAGCTTCCAGCGTCTACGATTTATACCTTTGGCTAGTACCAAAGTCTGTATAAGTCTACCTTCCAGATGATTAGCTTTTCAGGAGAGTCTATCTTTCCAATATGTCTTCAGATTCAGAGATAATAGGCATGACCATAAACTTTATTATTTACATAATGTTTGCAGAGGTATTCCCTTTGAAAACTCCTTAAAGTTTAGAGTGTAAATTCCTTATACATGTATTTACATTGGAATAGATTTCTTTCTGCAAAAGGAAAGGTCATATACCTAAAATACATGTCGATTTTCAGGTTTACATTTTGTCGAAAAATGTGGAAACTAACTCAAAAAGCTTAGTATTTCTTAATTTCTTTAAACGATTTAAAATTTTTTTTTAATCATTCTTTTTATTAATATAAGAAAACACTAACTATTTCATTCGTCATGTACATGTAGGAGACATGAAATTCGGTTAAAACCTGGATAATTTTAGCGCAACATGTATTCAACAACTCAGATATTTCTTTTTTGATTGTATGAAATCAATGCAAAAAATATTACAATATGCAATATACCATTAGTTTTAAATGTACCTTTGGATTGTTCCTTTAACCCTCTACTATAGGAAATTTTAAAAGTTCATTTTTAAAATAGAACCTTCCCAAACAAAAAAATATTATAGTTAACTTTACTTTATAATAGTTAGCTAAAGTGATAATTTTTACATTATGAAAACTATAGTGATTACTTTGACACTTAATATAGTGATTACTATGATACCATGAAAACTTTGATTTACTATAGGGATTACTTTGACACTTTTAAACCCTTGATATACTATTTTCTAGTTGTGTTTGCTATGAAAACTTTGATTTGTTATAATTATCTTTCAAATTCACTTAAAATCATTATACTTAAGACGAAATCTTTATGTGTATTGTTTACATGCTTAATAACATTTAAGATTGTTTATTACTAATATAAAAATTAAATTGAAAAAAAAGGTTAAACGGTATTCATTTCAGAAATTATGTCCAATAGACGTCCTTTAAAACCATGAAGTTTTCCCGAAAATTATCAGATTAAAAAAAAATGAAATGGAAAAAATGAATTGCTTTCAAACTGAATGGTAATGTCTGAGTAGAAGACACCAAGAGGCATATTTTTTTTAAATTAAGATGATCTGCAAAACCGGATAATACCAATGTTGTATATTTAAATAACCTCTACATGTACCACAGAAAATTAAATACTGTACTATGAAATTTATAACTTTATTTCTGAAGGCATCATGTCTATAAACGTTTTTAAATTATAATGCTAACTTTAAACTTGTATCACTGCAATAATTCGGTTCTAGAATACATCATTCTTTTTTTTTCTTTATAGTAAAATGTCTCCTTATCCATGAGAATTCAGTATACACTTACTGGCGGTAATCACAGGTCCCTGTCGATATTTATGCTTTACATACTTGCTTGTAATTACAAGGATGGTCAAATATTGTGTAAACTGATACGTTTATTTATGAAATGAAGGCAAATACCAAAACAGAAACTGCTATTGTTGAAATACTTGTAACTTTAAATTATTTGTTAATACCATGTCTCTATTTAAAAATTTTCTGGTGAACAAAATAATCAGAATCAGGAAACTTGATGGAATCGGAGCGTAGGGGGTTTCCATGGAATGGAAACTTGGTGGAATCTTTAGGTTTCCTTTTATGGGAAACTACATGGAAGCTCGGGAAACCTCACCATTCCTATAGTTTCCGTGACTCAGGAAACCATATGGAATCGGAGCGTAGTGGTTTCCGTGGGATGGAAACTTGGTGGAATCTTAAGGTTTCCTTTTTAAGGAAACTACATGGAAGCTTGGGAAACCTCATGATTCCTAAAGTTTCCGTGACTCAGGAAACCACAGGGAATTGGAGTGTAGTGGTTTCCGTGGAATGGAAACTTGATGGAATCTTAAGGTTTCCTATTACGGGAAACTACATGGAACCTCGTGAAACCTTACGATTCCTAAAGTTTCCTTGACTCAGGAAACTATATGGAACTTGTGTAGCAGTTTCTGTGTGGCGGAAACTTGGTGGAATTATCTGGAGTCCCATTCCTGGTTGAAGTTACTGGGAAACTTCAAGATTCCCCAACTTTTCTTAAGGAAGCGATGTGAAATTATGTGTATTCTTTCAAAAATCTATCAAAAAAATTATTAAATGTAAGAGAAAAAAAGCATTACCATTTTATATGTTTAATAATTCATTTGATGTACAAAAACTGTAACAGTGTTTTTCATTGATATCAAAATACTAAATAAATTCATATATCTTAGATAAACAATAGAACAGTCTTTCACATTTAAGTCCATTCATAAGCGTCATTAAGTACTTCTTTCAACATCAGTTCCCTGGTATTTCCTTCACATCACCTATGATCTGCAATATTCATACAAAATTATCATATGATGTGTCAGAATTATAATGCTTGAATATAACTTAGAAATCTGAAAGATCAGTCAATGTTCTTTAATATACCAATATCAATAATTACTTTCCATGACCATGATACATATGATTTCAGCATTTAATGTGTCTCTTTAAAATTAAATGCTTTATGATAAGGAAAAATTTTTTACATAATATAAATAATGTTTTCAGCCTCGTTATGTCATTGAGAATATATTACAGTTTCATAGAACCCTGCTTTAAGTTGAATTAGTTTGAGAGAAAATATACTCTTTATAATAACAAAAATATTAATAGAGAGAGAATTTTTTAAAATTTTTGATATTTGACCTAAAAAATTGGTTGAAGATCATTGCGGACCCTCCACACCAATTGCATAAAAGCTAGATTACACCAAGGGGGGAAATATACTCTGGACTACGACTTTGAATAAAGATATACAGTACATTTTGATACTGACCTTTGACCTAGAAAATTAGTCCAAGGTCACTCTTCATCCTCTATCCACAGGCTCTCTGTAGTTTAAGTTTGAGAGAGAAATATGCTCAGAACAAGTGATATCAGATGGTGTGATGGGTAGACACACTGTCTAAGGGCATCCACAGAACAGGTCTCTAAAAACAATGCAATATATATGTATTACAGTATGGGTATACATGTACTTGTATGTTAATGATTTATCATATGCTGCATTGGATATGCTTTTATCATGGTGTAAGTATACATGTATCTTATGAGTAATTTTATGCCAGTATTGCATGTACACTCAGTTTATAAACAAGTAATTTAAATTTTTTTTTTACAAAAATTGACCAACATTATTTACATCCACTCATCATGTTCATGAATCGGTGGATCAAAATTCAGTCAGTTTTAGATCTCTATGATATACCATAGACAACTTTCACATTTACAAAAGTTATTCCCCTTTGCAGGGTCAATCTGGGGTCAATCGGCTTAAGACGCTGTTTTCCCTCTATATAACCATACCAACTTTGAGGGTCAATATCTTGGAAGTGAAATCTGTATGAACATGTTCATTATGATTTTCATGTTACCCCATACTCTGGCCATACAGATACAGATCGTAATTGTCCAATATCGTTTGAAGATTGAAAAAATACAAGTAACTTACAAAGGACAAAGTGAGAAAAATGAGCAATACACCGACAATTAGAGACAACTCTTAGCAATGTGAAATTTGTCTATTGGTGAATAGATGACAATTCCTGTTTTAATGTCACTGAAAAATTAAGAGACATTAAAAATTTAAGCCCTATTGTCATGCATGCATGCTGTTTTTTTAAGTATTTTCAACCAAACTATAAATTACAATTGCTTGTAATTGAAAGATGGATCCATTACACATTGCACCCCATTACTTTGAAAAAATGTAATGATTACAATGCATTACCATTACACATTACCATTACCCCAGGTCTGTTTTCAACCACATAACCTTTTACTATCATAAAATTTACCAAAATTTAATACTTCAAATAATTTCATTGAATACATGTATGTAAAAAATTGAGGAAACTCTAAAAACTTAGTGTCAGACTTACAGAAATTAATCTTTGGAGAGAAAAAAATCTATCATATAAAGATGTGCATAATGAGCCTTTTTTATTCATTTAGAACATATCGTATGTGCATCATTTCCCCAAGAAATTTTCAAAGACAATGGACTATTTGTGAGCAGAAATCATTGCTGTTTACTTAATACATTTGGAAAATTTATGAAAATAATCAAATAATTTCTTTATTTTTGATTTTAGATAATGCTAAAAATTATTTAATCTCTTATAAGTAATCCAACTGACTGTAAAATAAAATTTTTCTTAATCTCAATCTAAGGGCAGATCACTCTAACTGCATAAAACTACCCAATATCAAAGTAGAGCTCTTTAGTGTGCAGATTTTAGAGCTTCCTTAAAGTCATCAAAATACTGACCAGCAAGAAATCAGTTAATAACATTTCCTCTTTTTCATTCAAATTTTTTGAGAGATCTCAAAGTTTTTTCCTCTTCAATTCAGGTTCGAGATGACAAAGTTTTACTGTAGTGTATGTATTAGAGAACTGATTGTATGTCAATCACGACAATACATACATAACATGGAGGGGGGCGAATTGTTTCAGCCCTAGTTTTTACATAAAACTTCTTGTAGCTCACAGCTGATAAACCACAGCTCAGTATTTAAAATTTAGAATCTTTTTTTTTTTTTTCAGGCAATTGTTATACATACCAATCATGATTTAATTACCACTTACCAAATGACCACATCCTGAATCATCATACATTTTATATGATTTTATCTCACTGGTTTTCTTTTAAAGTCATGCAGTTTTCTTCTCTCTGAAATGATAAAATATGTTAAGGTACTATTGCATTCTAATTTAAACTAATTATGTAATAGCATTAGCAACAACAGAGATGGGCAAAAAAAAAAAACAAAACAAGATGCACTTGTTAAACATTATGTGCCCGGCGGCAACAAAGTTTCGAAAAAGCAATTTTTTTAGCATATAGGTCACAGTCAAGATCACATAATCATTGTCCTTGTTGTCACGTGAAAGCACTTCATAAGTGGAGTATGCATACTAAATATGATGTCACTATCTCATATAGTTCTAAAGTTATGGTGAAGGTTTAAGTTGACAACAGGCAGACACTGAGATAAACAGTTATGGCAAAAGTTCGAAAAAGCTATTTTAACATATAATCACAGTCAAAGTCACAAGGTCATTGACCTTGTTGCATTTCAAAGAACTTAATTATCATAGTATGCATACCAAATATGAAGTCTCTATCTCTCACAGTTCAAAAGTTATGGCAATGGTTCAAGTTGACAACAGACAGAAAGGACAAAATTAATACACGTGCCGAGTCTATCAATTCAGGCGTATAAAAATTTCAAACAAATGAGCATCAACTAGTTTGTACCATTCTACTTCTCCTATGTCAGGACAACCATCACTAATTTACTATTTCATCCAATCTTTTTTTCAAAATATTTAATCTAATGCAATAGCTCACCAGCAGAATATGATATTGTGCTCGACTCATTGCTTGCCTGCACCACAGTTATGTAGAATGTGGCGTATGTTATAAACTTATAATCATATTCAGATATAAGAAGCATGTTATTTTTTATGACAGCTAAGTCTGTTCAGTTAGACAATACCATGTACACTGTACATGTATGTAAGTAGTTTAATTGTGCTTGATTATTTACTTATTTTCTTCTCAACTTAAATCTGAACACAACTCGTAAATAGGCATACGCCATTTTTGATAGCATTATCTACGATACATCAATACTAGGGTATACTCCTTGCAATCGTTACACCTGACTGCTTTATTGTCACGGGTATTGGCATGGAACAGCAACCCGTGATCGTGCTGGTTATCTTGCATTACCTTTTTTTTTTACATTTTATTGCAGTTACGTTTATCTGTGTTTTTTGTATATTTTACTGACTTATAAAACTATAATTATTATAAACTTATTTGGTATCTTATTTTCCTGCATTAGATGAAGTATTACGTTATTACTTTCGCTACCGAGTTCTTCTGTCCATCTTCACCAGTGTAGACTGATTACACTGAACAGTGACCAACTGCTGCCCTATTTATAGCGGTCTGCAGAGAAGATAGACTCGGGAACAAAAATGGCGGACAGATTCCTTTTACGAATCGTATTCAGCTTTAAAGTGTTCTGTATTTTATTACCAAGTTTGTAATAAGCATTTTGAAACATACTATCAATATTAATTCACTATGAAGGCTTACTTTTCTTTTTTTACATCTTCATCTCAGCAGGTTAGACAGTACAAAAAAATCTTTTGAGCAGTAAACTATTTCAATAAACAAACCTATTCTCTTCAGAGAAGTGGACAGGCTTTCACCTACATTCACTTTTTTATGTATATTTTCCCTCCATATCCTAAGGGTTATGCTACAGACTACAGTATTGGCTACAATCTTTTCCAAATGTTCTGAATGATGATATCCTTCATGATAATCGGATAAGCTAAGATTGAAGACACTTTTTGTAAAAATATTGATGCTTTTATCAAGGTTTAGAACCAAAACTATTTCATTCATACCTTGCTATAAGTCATAAGTTCCAAAAATCAAAAGAGTTGGCTATCCGAAAACGGAAAGTCAGAAGAAAACACATGTATGTATTCAAACCGGATGTACTACAGTCTGAATTTAACTACGAAACCATGCTCGGTATAACTATTATCATCCGGATAATTTGAGCGGGGTTAAAAATATATTTTTGTTTAAATCCGAAAAGTATTCATTTATATTTAGAGAGAGAACATACATATTGAGCATACATTTTAATAAACATGGTGAAAGGCGAAACGTTGCCATTTTACAACATACGGTGCCTAGGGACCTCTATAATCTATTTAAGTTATGTTGTATCACTGTCTCAAATCTCTCTCTCTCTCTCTCTCTCTCTCTCTCTCTTGCAATATATGCGCTTAACAATTTAAAACTTAGATATCCAACTTTTTAAAATGGCGTCAGAACAAAAGTTGCCTCCGATAGTGAAGATTTGTTGTTGCCAAATATTACAATTATTTGCCGTAAAAAGTTAACAAAAATATACGTACATTAATCCTTGGTCGTTGGTCATTGCATTTATCACAGTCTTAAAGACACTGGGTGGTGAAAACATCAACTTTTCACATTTACGAGCTGCTTACACCTTCTTCTTCGTCCTTCTCGATCCTCCAAAAATGGCGCCTCGGGAAATTGACCAATGAAATAAAGCGCCTGCAGAGCGATGCAGGATGGGAAAATAAACTGTTTACATTCACTATGATTATGTGTGATTATGAGATTTTATATTAGAATTTAGAAGTTTTCCCCTGTTCATGGAATAAAAAAAGGGGGCTCCTATTAAAATATTTTTGTCGATATGATGTGTAGGCCTAGTACATGTATATTTAGATAAAAAGCGGTTAAATACGTGAGAGCAGAGAAAAATTATGTTTCTTGCGTGACACCTCAACTTATTTGCCTTCGGGATGAGGGGTTCGGGGCTTGGTTGTTGGTAGTGGCCGTCCTAGCTGAAAGTACCCCCCCCCCCTCCCGCTACTTTTAACTGTTATAATTATGAATTTATAATGTCACATCAAAAGATGTTAAACCTTTAAAAGTACATCTTTTTTAATTGCGAACGTTCCACAGGAATCCTTAAAGGCATGAAAATGAGTTACAATTATAATACATGTATAATTAACAATAACCGTCCTTATTTTTTTTTTATTTTAATAGTGATGATTGAAAAGTTCGGTGTTTAATAATTAATTGCTTATAATTTATGGGGGATTAAAATACTACTAGAACTCCCTCCTTTTCTGGTTTTAATTAGATTTTGAGCCTGCTATCAATATACTGTATTATTACTGGTGGACCTTCTAGACGTTTCTCTATTTGCTACATGTAGGCCTAAATTGTACTTGAAACTTCTTTGCCTTTAGCTAATAACTTTCCCACATCATTTTAACACGTAAAATTGTTAAATGAATTAGGATGTTGAAAATCTTTTTCTTAGGAGAGTTACATGTATCTCAAGATGGAATAAAACTTACATCTAATCAAAGACAAGAAAAAATAATAGTATTTTAATTCAGTATTTAGTCGTGATGGGTATAAGTGAGGTCATGGGAAAAAATATGTCAAAAGTCATCTAGATACTCGTTGATGTACAGGGCTGTACTTATGCATATACAGCTTTAGCTGGTCCCGCCCTGTATTTCTTTTAATGTTTTTTTTTTTTCGTTAAGAAATCTGGTAAGGTATGCTAGTAAAAAAAAAAATCCCGGTAAGTTTATTACCCTAACGGAAATTACTTTCCTACAGGCCTGAAGTTCGAGTCTATTAGTCAAATTTAAGAATGTCACGCATCTTTTTTAAAAAGAGTAGCATGTCGGGGAATAAAAATAAAGTAACGTACAATTTAGATAAAGAAAATTAATGTTTGTTGAAGTATTGACAAACTTCATACCTTTATATAATGAAATCAACAAAAACTGCACAAAAATACAATCGTGACAATTATACAATTAATTCTTTTAATAGATTGCCGTAGCATCCACTACTTTAAAAGCCGTTGTTCTTCAGGAAAACAAAATGATGCAAAATATTATAGACTTTTCTTTATCTAGAGAAATGGCCTTTGGTGAAAAGAATGGCTGAAATTTTTAAAGTTTGTTAAATATATGTGCATGATCATATGTGCATTTAGGACCCTACATTGTAATTTTATGCGAAAAGTGCAGACGTTTACTACATGGGGATCTGCGTACATATAAACAAAAAAGGAAAAAAAAAGTTTTATGTAATGAATATTATAACATTATTTAATAAATGCCTTTGTATAGTACGTTGGATTACAAATTTCACACAAAACTCATCAAGACTATTAAATACAGTGTTGATTTCACATTGATCTATTAAGTAATTCTGATTTAATATAATTATACACGACGAGAATTTAGATCTAATCAATACCTATAGAAAATTATTTAATTTCTAAAGAGCATAGTTTTTTCAAATCAGTAATGAAAATTGAAATAAAAATTCTAAATAGTTCGTTCTTTCATTGAACATCTTAAAATAAATGTATGTTATTTTATAAATATGTTCTCTTCTATAACTTTATTTATGAAATATACAATTTTTTAATTGATAAAAAAACACAAATCGTCATCTTAATTCAAACGAATTTTCGGTCGGAGGCTGTGTGTGTACATGCTCGACAACAGCCCATTGTTCCCTTTAGGTAGAAAACCGTCTCAATTCACATAGAATATACAAAAAATACACAGTGACAGGTGTCTTCGCGGCACGTGTCTCCACCTGATATGGCACGTGAGGACAGGTGCCCGTAGTTATTACACAGGCCGACTATAGTGATTTTTTCAAGTGTGGTTTCATTTTTTTTTTTTTGAAGGGGGGGGGGGGGCTTCTCTAGGAAAAAATGAAAAGCAATCCACCCACCCCCAATAATAATAATAATTTATTAAATTAAAAAAAAAACAATCTTACTAAAGTAAAATACTAGTATGATAATACTCAGCCCCCAACCAATTCGATGGATTTTATCTGACCAGTTTACATTGATCTCTATGTAACCATACTTAGTCTTCTATATTTTGTTTTTTTAAAGGTCAGACGATACGTTTCCCATTAAGTATCTGTTTTGTGAATCTTCATATTAATGTATAATAAATTTGTATAAAAATCTTTATTACTTTCTAAACTGGTTTTTAATAATTTGAAACACTAAAAATGTAATTGTGACAAACCAACTGAAGAATTTTTTCCTGAAGGATTACCCCGGTATATAAGAGATGCCAACCTCTGGTATCTCACACAAAATGCCTTGTAAGGTACCTTGAGTTTTTGTGAATACATGTTATAATGTAAAAAAAAGTAAGTCTTCAATGTCAAAATATTGGAAAAAATTATAATTATATTATTGAGGAATGTCTCATCTGTCCTTAATCACTACATTTTATATAATCGCAACTTGACATATTTCTTTATTTACTTTTTTATCGATCGTTTTACCTTTTCTGTAAATAATATCATTAAAGGTGCCCTTCGCTCTTGCATTTTTTTTTCAAAGGAACATTCAACATAGACAGCTTACAAGAAAGTGGGATCGGAAATGATTGATATCTACATAACTGCACTTAATTTTCTCTATTCCATTTCATGCATTCTATACAAGTTTACCAAAACTTTTAATATTAAATTGCGTTCACGGCGGTGCTGAAATATTATATCTTATCACGCAGAAATACACATCTAGTTATTTTAACTGTTTGAAGGGAAGTTAATTATTTTGATACAGCATGTAAACACTTTTGAAATATTTCTATAATTGGTAAGCATGTGGTAACATCAGAAAATATTTAACTTTTTGTAAAATAAAAAGTAGGTGGGTTACCATTGAGATATACTTTCAAAGTTTCTCTACCTGGGAAACATGGGGGAAACTACACATTGGTGGCTTCCATGTCGGGAATCTATATGGAAACCACTGAGGCATGTTTCCATGGTTTCCTATCTTGGGAAACTAACGGGAAACCACAGGTTGGTTGTTTCCATGTCGGGAATCTACATGGAAACCACCAGGGCATGTTTCCATGGTTTCCTATCTTGGGAAGCTAACGGGAAACCACAGGTTGGTTGTTTCCATGTCGGGAATCTACATGGAAACCACCAGGGCATGTTTCCATGGTTTCCTATCTTGGGAAACTTACGGGAAACCACAGGTTGATTGTTTCCATGTCGGGAATCTATGTGGAAACCACTATGTGGTTTCCATAAAATGGAAACTATATGGAAACTACTGATGTCACGATTCCCATATGTTTCCATCGGGTTTCCAAATTTGGGAAACCTGGCTTTTCATCCTGTGGTACTTTTATTTGATTAAAAAAACTGTTTTGAAACAGGACTAAAAAAATAATTACAATATATCTCATAAAAATATATGATAACCATTGTTAATAGCAATTATGATTATGGTCTTAAAATTAGCCATCAAACTGTTTGGTACCTGTAGGGGCGTCATTGTTTTTGGCATCTGGTAGATAATTACACAAGTCATCAGATAGAATTTGTAATCTGGTATGGCAAGGACACTTTATATTCAAAGGTCAGTGTTAATATTAATCAGCTTTATCCAATCAAAACTAGGTACCCTTAAAGTCAAATCTTATCTTGTCCTGGCTAGAGAACTCATAATTAAATCATTTTTTGTTTTGATAGTTGCTGGACGCACCTAGAATTTTAAAAAGAATTTGATTTACCCACCAAATAGCACCCTGTAATAATGTGTTGAAAAAAAAAAATTCCCAGTCCTGAAACTGTTCTTAGTGTTTTTTATGTTGTGGAGCTTTATTCGTCATATTTTGGTACATGTAAAAGGTTGTTGTTTTGTTTAATTTGCAGTAAAATCCTATGTTTTAATATTATAATTATATAACATTTAATTTTACCGATGATATTTTCATTGGTTGGCTTTTGTAACCCCTTCGTAAATATATTGTCATTTATTCAGTCTTTTTTCGGTTAATCAATGATTGAAACTAATTTCGTCAACTGATAAAATATATTAGTGGTAAATTGAATAAATGACCTTTCTAGCAGAATTAAGATGTTCTTTTTTTATTTCAATTGAATTCTGACTCCTTAAAAAACAAAACTGGTTCTATTTCGTTGACAAGTAAACATTATATTATAAGAACGAAACATAGAATGAGTTTAAGGTTATTTCGTAATGGAAAAAATGGGTGACAAAAATACATATTGTACGAAAACAGAATGATTAGTACAATGTGAGTATTGCAAAAATAATAATTTTGATTTTTAAAAATAGTCCTGATTCATCCAATAAAATGATATTTGAAAGCTTTCATGTGCATGTATAGAAAATAATGACAAATTATCATTTTACATCATTCATGTCATTATAAAAGCATTATTGCATGTACCTTTATCAACAGCACTGTAAACTTGTCGCCCAACACTTATCCATATCTGGCCGTATGTGTTCACTGGAATCACACTTTTCACCTTATTACAATCATCATCGGCATCTTCGAGAGTAAGGTTTGTAAACAAGTATACGTCTCTACTTTTACAATGGCTCATTGCTGTTATCCAGTCCACATATACAGAATTGCCTAGAAGTACCAGAAATGTATTCGTTTCGATTTCATTGTACATCACTTCAAGCACTGTGCATTTTTGTACCAGTTTTGGAAAAAAAGTATTCTATTCATTTTTTAAAGGAATCTTCTTTCAATTTAATTTCCTAAAAAAACAAGTAATTTTATATGTGCATGATTGATATTCTACTTCTAGCTAAGGAAATATATAATTATATATATATATATATATATATATATATATATATATATATATATATATATATATATATATATATATATATATATATATATATATATATATCATGAAATCCTTCCAAGCAAAACAAATAAAAATATACCTCGGATACAATTCAAATGAAAAAAAAAAATGGGAACAGTTATTTTTTTTTAAATAAATAAGACTCCTTTTTCATCGAGTTTTATGAGATAAACCAAACAACATAGAAATATAAATTGTATTAATTAAAAAACCTTTTTGAACAGTGTAACTTTTTGTGGCCTAAATGTTACATAATGAGTCAAAATTGTTTTTAAAAAGTGTTTGTATTCTTAAGCAAACGTTTAATGTTTTGTTTTGTTTTTGCTAGTTTTTTAACGTCCCTCCACGAGAACTTTTCACTCACATGGAGATGCCACCACTTCTGGTGGAGAACTTCAAATTTTGACAAATGCTCGCCACTCAAGGTTATTGAGCACTGAGGGATCTTTTTTGTGCCAAAACTTCTGCAAAAAGGGACCTTGGTTTATACAGTCTCGTCCAAGAGACCGGTCTCCGCGTCCGGCAGTGAAATGAACACCACGTAGGATTAACTCTTTACTGCGTGACACTAGACAAAACGCTCTGATACATGTACATGTAGCTGGTAACCAAAGAAAAATTTACGTATGTCACACTTTTAAAGAGGTTCATAGGTAAGTAACTATTCTTTATCAACATAATTTATTATATCAGTGACTGTACGTTCAGAGATTAAAAACGTTTTAATAAAAAAAAGAAATGGATGTCATATTGAGTATACGTATTAATGCTGCTTACCCGTTTTGCTAAGCAAAAGGGTGAAAATAACGATCGATCTCATTAAAACACAAACAATACAAATATGTGAAGGGAACATAAACAAAATCCCTCAAAAATTCATATCAATAAAGAAAAAAAGAACATTCCATTGTAGAAATTTAGTACAAAACAAAGGTCCAATAATTGATATGTACATGTGTAAGTATATAATCAAATATGAATTGCATATCAAACATAAATGTAAAGAAAAATTGTCTATGTATTTTGCCAGATATAGTACAGATATACTTAAAAAGAAATAAAATTATATACCTTTTTCTTCACATGCTGCTAAGAAATGCCCATTACAATTTTCAGCACTATAAATCTTGTTATCCAGTGAACATTGTATGTAGCCACATCTCTTTGAAAATCCACCAAATTGCCTAACAGCTATTTAAAAAAAATATATAGTATTTTCTTTTCTTTGCTTTATGATTGCAATGTAATCTTCTTAGCGCAGCACACATGGATAAATGAAGTACTTGAAATTAATCCACAGAGAGGGAATCAAAGAAAACAAGACGTATTTGTAAAACATTGATGCCAAGTATTTCAGCTAATAGCGATGGTAAAGGTTTCTCAGATGCGAGTCGAAATCAAAGGTCAAAGTGAAGAATAAAAATGTTGTAAACCAAACAACGGCTTTCTTAATAAAAACAATTTTTGAAATACGAAAGCCAAAGCATCTTCCACTTTTAAGTGATTTCCAGGGTTAAAGTTTTTAAATGGGTCAAACTCTGAGGTTAAGGTCAAATATCCGAAGGAAAAAAAAATTGTACCCTATAGATAGGCTTGTTATAATGAATACACATGTGAAGAATGGAATCCTCACAACCAACTTTTCAAAAAAGAAATATGTTCAGGGTTAAAGTTTGAAGAATCTTTTTCAAAAGTGGGTTATAGTAAACCCCAAGGTCAATAGCAACAGGATAAATTTGTTATTACACTAAGAAAGATCTTGTCACAAGGATGGATAGACAAACAGGCGGACACGACAAAAACTGCCCTTATTTGAATTTTCGAATACAGGGTCATAAATATATCTGAAATGTTTTCTTTGTTCGAAATTTAAGGATTACAATTTGTATCATATTTATAAAAAATATTTCTGTGGATTTTCTACAAATGATCTGATTTTTAATGACTCAGATTTGTGCAACGTTCTTAATTATTCCTCTTTTACAGTTTTTCTACACACAAATATTAATTTTTAATATTGTATGAAGATGATATAAAAAGAAAAGATAAACTTATAATAAGAAATACATAATGCATAATATTGAAAAATGTGATTTTTATTTCAATGGTAGATTTTTAACCCTCTTTATCAAATATGCTGATTTCTTCTCTCCCCATACCAAGTGCAAATAAATTGACAACAAGCAATATTCAACATACCCGAAACGTATAAATTGTATGCCGATGAGCCACCACATTCGTTTGCAAACGGTTGTCTAGTATCGGTGTCACAGGACAAATCACAGGCCTTTGGCGTCAGATGAGTTGTACTTACGAATCCTATCAAACATATGCATGTTGATCCCTGTGTAAAAAGTAAATTCAAATTGATTACGTCTTTCTCCCAATGCAATTTTCCTTTGGATAATATATTATCATTTATGGTGTGTCTAAGGATGGCCTTTGTAATAATAAAAAAAAAATTAATTTTCAATTAAAAAAATTGATTACAACCGAAATTAAAATAAATAACGAAAACGTAAATAAGAGAACTAACGAGCAAAATATAGATAAAAAAAACTTTTATTATAATGATGTATTCTTGTTGCGAAGAATAACAAAACGTAACTTTAACTGCAAAATGCCTTAAGTTGTTAAGAGATGAACAGATCCCCTCGCATAGCCCAACAGACCGATGTGGCATATGGAATTTTTCACTCTCGTTGAATGATTGGTCAGAGTAGCATCCTAGTATTTTCATTAAAAGAAAAAGATTAAAAACTGAATTAAATCATTGAAGATGTTTGTATATAAACGGTATATTTCATGTTCGAATATTGTTTTATAATCTTTTTTTATTCGTGTGATAAAAGTTTTTTCCCCCTTTTTTTCGTACATACAACATACCAAGATACAAAGGAAATTATGCTAAGCCATAACTACGAGGTAATAAGTCGCAATGACGAGAAATTATATATGTTGTAAATACGACATTAGAATTCGTACATTTTGTACGTCAAAGATAATAATTAATAAGTCCTTATTACGAGAAAATAAGTACAATGTAGTTATACCAATTCGTACTTAGTCGTTATAACGAGATAAAAAGTCATTTTAAAGACATATACTTAGGAACATGTTTGTACATATGAAAGTTGTACATATACAAACATCAGAATTAGTCGATAATTTTAAGATAATAAATCATGCAAGTTATGACAATCGTTAGTGTTCTTTGTCCTGGATGATAAGTCGTAACAACAAATTTACACACTCCAGGTTAGATTTCCAAATTAATACCATAACCTTTTTTCGAAAATAAGTCAGAATGAAGATTATTAATTTCAGCATAAAGGTTTTAAGATTTTACTAATTTAGCGTATTTGGGTATGTTAAGAAAGTAAATGAACTTTTTCTCCGGGAATTTAGACTTTGTTAAGAAAATTAAGTTTTATAACTTATCAAAACCGCTGAATAACGTAACTATTATTAGCTATTGTATAAAGACGTGCACCACCACCACGGCATTGTGACTCCTATTGATAGCGAAATGTTCCTTTAAAAACGCTAACAGAACAACAACACTTCGGAGTTCGATAATTTCTTTGAATAAGTTATTTAGTCGAAAACATCTATTTGCCTAAAAAGTGCTGCAACAATCCCACTGTCCTATCAGTAAAATAATAATTCCACACATTCGCACGAAACCTTACCCAATTTTTTGATTTTTTTTTTACATATACATAAATACCTATATTTTTTGTAAAACCATGCCTAACTCGGGATTCAAGCCGCACTTTCCAAGTATTTTTGAAGGCGAACTTTCGATCTGTACAAATATTATATTTGAAATATCCAGGTTTTCTGTTCTGTTGCATTATTTTTGTTACGAATGACAGGGGAAATGCCGACCGGGATACGTATATAGCCGACTATCTTCGAAAGAAAATCGATGAAAATAAATTAGCACACATGTACCAGTTTAATAAACTGAATTTCATATTAATTTCACATACTATTTACGATGTTTGCTTTAAATTTTCATTTTACGTATTTTTTTACGTACCGTCTTAGCCAAATTCTCTTTACACGACATGATCAATTCCTAAAAGATTTGAGGTACACATATGATGTCATCTGTGGTAAATTTTAATCAAAATGATAGATACAGCATAAACAAAATACGCACATTTTATTTTTGTTAATGTTTACACGTTTCTATTAATTTTGTAGAGTTAAATTACATCTCTACGAGGGATGATCAAAAAGTTCGCGAACTTTCTCTATATATTTACAAAACCGCAATTCAGATTAAAATAAATTTGGCACACATAAAGTCATACACATCTTCTATAAATAGAATATGTAATGAAATGTTTTTCTCCGTGTTTGTGACGTCACAATGTAAACATGACGTCATAAGGTAGGTCACTCGTGACAAAAAAAGGTTGACTGAGTCGCATTCGAGAAACGGACGCCTGTAAAGTTAAACGTATATCTTGAAAATTCCCTTGTAGAAGTTTAAAATAATTTGTATACGGTTTACGGAGACAAAAGACTTGCCAGAAGCTTTGTCATTAATTGGATTGATTGTTTAAGTGAAGGTAAGGAGATGTTTAAAAATTATGTTTGTTCTGTTGCCCAGTGGAAGCAAACTGGGGGAGAGATGTATCTTTTGTTAAGCAATTTGATATGAAAAATCGCCAACTTAGAGTTAGAAAAGTAAATGAATATCTTTAAAATGATATAATTATCAAATTCTTGAAATACCGTTTACTTTAGACTTTTTAAAAACATATCAGATATGATAAAGAGAAGACACCCATACTTAATCCACATGAAATAAACGACAATCAAAAGATAGAGGTATTGGGTTTTGATGGTCACCATGCTCATTCTGAAAAAGGATATCATTATCAACCCATACTATTGCCGAGATTAGTCCATTTCTGACAAATAGACCGATTTTGCTGCAAAAAATGACTTGCATGGTAAGAAATATAAGAGTCGGAAACATTTTTAAGCTTCTGTGACAGAAAGCTAAGGAGCATGTCACGTGACCGCCAATATCACGTGATCTGCGCATGGGCAGAATGGTTGTAGATGCACATTACAATCAGATAGGACTACTTTAAAAAAATTTCAACACTGAAACCCTATACCATTTCTTTTTTGGAAGTAATTCAATTAGTTCGCGGACTTTTTGATTACCCCTCGTATACACCAATATCAAAATTGATGTCATGTAACCTACTATGACGTCATAATGTATCAATGATTTAGTCAAGGTTAAATATTTTGTATGCTTCCTAATTATCCGTGCGTAAAGTTAAGTTTTCTGTGCTGAAACGCAGGTTTTCGCTACTGTTAAACGCATATTCGTATTAAACATGTTAAACCAGCATAACATTGTAATATTTAGTTTTTAAATGCTGAATATATAAAAATATGAATACATAATTTTAAAATTCAGAAATCCTCCCCTTTTAGAATTAAAATAGCATGATACTATTCATTTCATCAAAATAGGATCAGCATTTGTAGGAAGTATCAGCAATTAAACAATGCCATTTGATTTCAATCTGCTAGCTGAAAAAATGAAGTATACTCCATTTACAATATATGGGGAAAAGGTCTCTTAAATATATGCTTTACGAATACACTACGGCTGACCATTCATTCTGGCTAATTCACTAAAGAAGGGCTTTTAAACTTTTAGTTAGGGGTATTTAAGAGAGAAAAAATACAACATTAGGATTTAGATAAAATATCTATTTATTTTTCGACCCCTGCTTTACTTTCATATTCATTTTGGACAAAATATAAAAGATGCACAATTTCAATAATGATTTGTATTAAATAATCAATTTGTTAACAATTCCGTGCGTTCTTTTTGTACTTTCTATTTATAAACTCTGTGTATTACTTTTAAATAGAAAAGGTTAATAGAAAAAGTTTACCAAGTAGGTGGATCCATCTTGATAATTTTTTGTAACGGCCAGTCCAGTAAGTAGCATTACCAACTATTTCGTTCGTTTGCAATGTAAGATTATGTGATCGGCATGCTTCTCGGGCTTCAAACCAAGTTTCAGATCCATTGGTAGCTGTAATAATATTAATGGAATGAAAAAATTGAAAAACTTTCTTTTGCATTAAAATACCTCAAACTTTACATAAGGTACGATGCATTTGTACTTTAACCGAGATTATAGAAATTGTATTATGATTTACAATTACACTACCTCGACCATTAATTCTAGTTAGTTCACTAGATTTTAAAATGGATATAAATAAAAAGAATATGTATAACGTATTAGATGTTTGTTAATTGTTCTAATAAAACCTGTTTACATGTATTGTGTATTGTATCCTCGTTTGGATAATGTAAAACGCAAAGAAGGGCAGGAAACTGTACTCAATGTTTTGTCTATTAACTATAAACTGTTAGTACTCAAAGATATTGTTGTGATTGATTAAAAAGAATTAATTAGACCTCATATTGATAATTGCAAACCTTTTCAGAAAAGTTAAGATTTCTCAACAGCTACGTATACATTCATTTCTGTCCTTTAGGAAGATACCAACAATGTCGTTTATCTTATTAACTATTACCAAAACTCAGAAGTCAAAATTTAGGACACATCCCTCCGTTATTTGCTAATATATACTGATAAATGGCAGTTTTGTCTAAATTATGTACTAAGTAAATAGTATATGAATATACCTACATATCTGTAATGCATTCCATTTCATTGAATCTTCTTGTATTAAAATTGAATAATTTAACTTCTTTATTGCTGATCGAACATTCAACAAATGGCAGAGAAGTCAAATATGTGAAAATTTTCCTATCGAATACCTTCTGCTTAAGCGAGTTAAAACGGGAATGCACGTCTTTAAATATGTATCGAAATATTTATCCATTATATTAAATAATTTACTGTAAATGGGTTCTTTAGCACATACATTTATTTTTTTCAGTGAAAAGTTTCTTATTCCTACAGCAACTTAATAACAATGTAAAACATTTTTCTATAACCTTTAATTACAGGTATTCATTCTCTAAAAAATAATTGTCCGATGACTCATTCCTTCTTTCAAATGCACTTATACATGTAGCATCCATTTTTGTCAGTTTTGTAAAAATTTGTTTGTTGCCATATTGTTATTTTGATAAGAATCTATTTCGCTGATTCGGTAATAGGGTATTGTAATTTTTGTGTAAATAAGATAAGAATTTTGGAAAGTGAACATTGTAGAGAGGTACATGTATTTATTGATTTTTTAAACTTATCCTTATGTAGGCATATGGCATATAACCCCTTCCCGACAGATCCTTCTTTGTCTTGATATTTCATACTGTATAGTATATATTATGTATATTAATTTTGTTTATTTACAATCGTGAAGTTTCAGTGAGATAGACTGCGTTAGGTGTTATATGTCCCAGGACGGAATGTTCGAAAGGAAAACATTTTTGTAATGTTCATGTCATTTAAGGTATATCACGTCAATTGTGTCGATCATTTCAGGAAGTAATTTAAATGATCAAATATGAATTAGTTTTCCCCAAAACAGATTCTAGCCGGCATGCAAATGATTTGTGATAAAAATTGGTATGAGGAAGTCATATCGTACAAGTATCTTTTCTTACCTGTTTGGCATATACATGTAAGGACACCAATGAATACATGAACCTTATACATGTTTTCAGACTCAGCTTGGTGTCCTTATACACAGGAATTCCTTTAAGCTAAAAAAAGCGCATAACAATTTGAAAACAATATTTAATCATTGAATATCCTCTTTTTTCTTACACAGGCGCAAAATCTTAAATAAAAGCACAGGTTATTGGTTCAAGATCATAAAAAATGTAAATATCTTGGTTTGTAAAATGTCACCTAAAAATAAATCTTGAAATCTCTTAAAGTGATGATTTAGTGATAAAGTGATGTTATTCATGCATTTTTATTTGAACATAAAATTAAAGATCATTCTTCAGCTAAATATTTATACATAGGAAGATTTTTTATAATCAGTCAAGTGGATTAGATTTTAATAAAAGAGCAGAGACATAGTTTTATTTTTAATTTCAATTCCTTATTTCCTCTAAATGTTGATCCATTGTAGGTATATACATATACAGTACGTGGCCATAAGTGAGTCATAATTTTATTTTTCCACTATATATTTCATCGAAAAACACATTTTTTAAAATATTATTGCAGTGTCATTTGTTGTTTCTTTTTAATGTGTAAAACACCATGAAATGCAAAATTTTATGTAGTTTCTTCACATTATTTCAAAATAGTTTTATCTTTATGCGTTAGCGTGAAATCACAGGTCACATGCAAAACAAAAATTTAAAAACTTCAATTTGTTAAGAAATCATAGTAATTTAAGGTTAGACAATTTTGTCTTGACAATATTTTATAATTTATTCTCAATGGTTTAAGTACCATTTTGTTTTTCATTTCAGATCAGAAAATTTGAATAATTCTGCATGTTTCAGTAAAAAAAAATCATGAAAATTGAGCTAAAATTGATTTCACAACAAGTTTTTATAAAAATAAGTTTTTCAATGAAATATATATATAAATATAAATATAGCGTAAAAATGCAATTATGACTCCCTTATGACCAGTGATCAATGATTATAAGTTTATCAGTAGCCCATCAAAAAGAAAACAAACAAAACATTCAAGTTTTTTCTTTAAGATTTAAACTAAAATATTTAAAAGTGATCATTGTACTTTATATAGGACTGAGACATTAACATTTTTATATGAACATCATTCTGTGATATATTGTAGTATTTGTATTCTATTATTATTTTTTAATGTTATCACGCTTTCATTTCTTTTAGGTAGTCAGATCCTCAAGTTTATAAAATCAGCAGTTCAGTAACTGAAAATTCTCACAGAAAACATCTAAACATCTAAATTCAAAACGTGATTGATTTTTATCAACAGTATTTCCTCAAAGTTTATATAAATTATCATTATAATTAATCATATAATTTAGAGTTAATTATCAAACTCCAAATAGATATTCGAGCAAGTGAAATGAAACATCAGCTATGTATTTTCTTATTACAATTGATCAACAAATACATTTTAGGTAAAAAAAAAAACTATATGTTTCCAAGTATGTAGAGGAAGATGTATGTTTTAGTACTTATTCTGTATTTTTGGTCTTCAATCAGTCTTTTATTCTTGTGCTATCATTGCAAGAAATCACAGACGTCTTATGATTTCGTATCGTGTTTTTAACATTGGTATCTAATGGTAGATTCAGGACAAACCTTTTTCTCTTGAACTATCCTTAATTTTGACTTTCATAGGGTACAAATAACACCATTTTAAAGACATCAAGGAACCTTAGAATCATATTAAGATGCATGAAATGGAGATTGTTGCACGAAAATTTTTATTTTTATTGATACATTTTTAATCAAATTATTATCTAATCAGTTACACTTCCTGACTGGAGATCGGATATCCTTAATTAGTCTGCCGCTTAATAATGTGAAGATTACATTAAAAATAAGTGTAATATTTAAGGGCGATAATGACAATAATAAAAATATTAAAATAATGTTAGTGCTTCAAATATATATCGATAAATAAAATAATTGTCATAATATTTACAAATCTAGATGACACAGACCTGAAAGGCATTCGTTACTTCCTTGTTGACAGACTATGTGACATAGCAACTATCTTCAACAGCGGGTTACACTGTTCGGCACAATCGATAGGTCTTATTTGGATAAGAATTTATGAAAACATTGTCAGTCTACATGTATGTGATACTTTCTAAAGTTTACCTGTTTCAAAGACGGAAGTAAAATAATTTGCAATGAACACATTTAACAGTCCTTATCTGTCCCTTGGGGGTCATGATTTGAAAAGAAGCAAACAAGTTTTGCCATTTCTTCTCTTGCGAGGATTTTTACAAACGATTTTCTCAACAACAATGTAATGCAGACATCAGCTTCATGTGTATTAAGTGACGAATTTTAGAAAATATAGCAACACTTTATATTTTACAAAATATATTATCATATATTAATCTATTATATGAACAGGAATGTTGGTGCTCCTTGACTGGTCTTAACACCTTTTCCTGAGATGCATCTCAGAATGAGTTCACCTTATTTTATCTTCCAGGAGGTTAGTTCGGGGTTTCCCCCTTGACAAACCGTAATTTTTTTTTCGACCAATCAGATTGTGTGTTTCAAAAATGTGTCGTTGTGAATGACAACATGTCAGACGCCAATAGCGAGGAGATTAAACTCTTTTGAAAGTAAATGCCCGAGTATTTATTTTTAATAATATTTTTTTTTCCATTTTTAACTAGCTGTCAAGCTTTTGAAATATAACATGTACTTTGCATTATATTATGGGTGTGTGCATTATTCAATGGAGACAAAACGAAAGTATCAAAAGTTTTGTAAAATTTCTGATCATTTAATTATAGTAAGGGCAGATGATACAAACAAAAAATGGATGCCTGGATTGGTATATATTTTATGAAAACGATGCAAATACTAAATTTCTAGTATATTAAGAAATTGTAAGCCGTCTATGTTGTTCATTATTCTGCCTCTCTGAAACCATCCTTATTACAGGGTTTAAAATCTATACAAATATTTTTCAATTCAGATCCCATTTTCGTGAAAATTGGAATAAAACTGCAAGAACTACACGGTGAAACGTGTTCATTTTATTGATTAAAACATGATTCAAGTTGCTCTTTTCAAATTTTTTAACAAAAGTTTGTTGTATCATTTGTCCTTAAACAAATGTTCACTTTTAAATTCAGTCTACTCGTAACTGGAGTTTTATGAAGAGATTTACTTTTACATTTGACAGCTGACTTTTACATTTTAATGATTGGAGTTTGTATATGTTTAAATTGTAAAAGTCAGTCGTCAATTGTAAAAGTAAGTCTCTTCATAAAACTCCATTATACAGTGAACCAATACCTTACCAGGTTCGTATAGTCACGAGTAGACTTCAACAAAGTCAATAATTGTATAATATACTGCAATTTTGTAATTGTTCTTGGAACAATAATTGTGGTACTGAAATTTAAGATCATGACTTGCGCATTTTACAATGTACATGTTACATGAACTAGAATATGAATGAATTAATCATTTTTAAAATTATAACATACATCCAAAACCTTAAAATTTTTCTTCAATTAGACATTATAAAATGTGAAACGTTTTCTGCCAAAAAGGTATATATGTTAAAAATCTACAGTTTGAAACTTTAAAAGATAAACAGATGAGTTCATAAGGTTGTTTAATATTCCGCGGTATTATGATCGGCGAACAACAAAAACGCAGACAAGTCAGTATGCGAAAATGAAAATGTCTAACAATATAAATATGTAAAAAGCCAGTCAGCGTTTGACTCAAAGAAAGTTTGTATTTCCTTACACAATCCATGTATCGACAAAAAAGATTGTAAAATGATGTTTTTTTTTATGTGACTATTGATATCCTTAATTTTTTCATCAACTTCTTGTCAATGGCTTGATTCGTTTTAGATGTTGTTCCTACGTAAAACAAGCCATTGTGTATTGAATCAATTAAGAGACAAAAAATATATTTTCTCAGGTGATAAGAGAAACATTTTCATGGAAAGTTGACGATTAAAAGGTTGAAGTCACAATGTCGTATCCTAAATCTTGTACACGTATTAAAATTGTCTAACAGTGAATATAATAAGCTGAAAGAACAAATACTTCCCTTGATTTTCTACTCTGGTTATGTCCACCCCAAACAAATAATATGTTTACTAATAGAATATATAGAAAATGTAATTACATTCATTGCAGGTATATTATCACTTAAAATTAAATGCTCACTTATGTATGTGAAATAAATTCACATTTCCTATCATGTTCATATATTTAAAAGATTTTATCCCCAAAAATTTTTACCATATTAAAATCGCTGGTAAAACACATCGAAGAATGATAGATCTGAAAATATATCCTAGTCTGCTTTGTAATAATACAGAATAAGAAAATATGCAAAATTGTGCATTGCGTTAAAAAGCTATTGGTTTAACAAGAAATAATACATCTTTCTTATCAATATGGGTTTGGGATAAATACTATTTGTTATGTTTTTGAAAAGATATTATATTTGGGAAATGGCCGAGATTTTTAACCGTAGGATTTTTTTCAGGTAAGGGGAGGGGCTTAATTGTACATGCGTGGCACCCGAGGCATTGACAGTCGTGTAGACCACGGAGAACGCTAATTCCTATATACAAACATATTATATAGAAATTCCTTTGAGTATTACATGTTCATCTTACTTGGCCTCCATTTCATCGTAAATATAAAATATCATTATTGATACAGATACGTTTGTAATTGTAAAGTTCTATAATTTCAGACTAATTACTAATATCTAACAAAAGGAAATACACATGTATCAGCAGTCAACTTTAAATAAAAAATCTACCTGCATGTACCTTTCGTACATTATTCGGCAATTAGTTGAATTTATTGTAAAAAATAATAAAATGCAGGTACATCTTCAAAGTAAAATATTCATACTAGACTGTCCATTTCAAATTTTTAAAACTATTCATAATGATCGTAAAGATAGGGGCAATCAAAACTTAAATAACGAGTGACAGTTACTTCCCGTTTGTATCAAAAGTCGTGTTGTCCTATTTTTTAAAAAATATATCCCATTGTGAAAAATTTGC